TGACTCTAGTGCAAGTGGGAGACTGTTGGAAATATGCCCTAGAGGAAATAATAAAAGCATTATTATTATATTTCCTTGTTCATGATAATTGTCTTTATTCATGCTATAATTGTGTTATCCGGAAATCGTAATGCATGTGTGAATAACAGACATCAACATGTCCCTAGTGAGCCTCTAGTTGACTAGCTCGTTGATCAACAGATAGTCATGATTTCCTGACTATGGACACTAGATGTCATTGATAACGAGATCACATCATTGGGAGAATGATGTGATGGACAAGACCCAATCCTAAACATAGCACAAGATCGTATAGTTCGTTTGCTAGAGTTTTGCAATGTCAAAGTATCTATTCCTTAGACCATGAGATCGTGTAACTCCCGGACACCGTAGGAGTGCTTTGGGTATGCCAAACGTCACAACGTAACTGGGTGACTATAAAGGTAGACTACGGGTATCTCCGAAAGTGTCTGTTGGGTGACATGGATCAAGACTGGGATTTGTCACTCCGTATGACGGAGAGGTATCACTGGGCCCACTCGGTAATGCATCATCATAATGAGCTCAGAGTGACCAAGTGTCTGGTCACGGGATCATGCATTACGGTACGAGTAAAGTGACTTGCCGGTAACGAGATTGAACGAGGTATTGGGATACCGACGATCGAATCTCGGGCAAGTAACATATCGATAGACAAAGGGAATAGCGTACGGGGTTGATTGAATCCTCGACATCGTGGTTCATCCGATGAGATCATCGTGGAGCATGTGGGAGCCAACATGGGTATCCAGATCCCGCTGTTGGTTATTGACGGAGAGTCGTCTCGGTCATGTCTGCTTGTCTCTCGAACCCGTAGGGTCTACACACTTAAGGTTCGGTTACGCTAGGGTTGTAGGGATATGTATATGCAGTAACCCGAATGTTGTTCGGAGTCCCGGATGAGATCCCAGACGTCACGAGGAGTTCCGGAATGGTCCGGAGGTAAAGATTTATATATGGGAAGTCCTGTTTCGGGCATCGGGACAAGTTTCGGGGTTATCGGTATTGTACCGGGACCACCGGAGGGGTCCCGGGGGCCCACCGGGTGGGGCCACCCATCCCCGGGGGCCACATGGGCTGTAGGGGGTGCGCCTTGGCCTACATGGGCCAAGGGCACCAGCCCCACATAGGCCCATGCGCCTAGGGTTAAGGGGGGCAAGAGTCCTAGGAGGGTAAGGCACCTCCTAGGTGCCTTGGGGGGGAGGGAAACCCCCCTAGGCTGCCGCACCCCCTAGGAGATTGGATCTCCTAGGGCCGGCCAACCCCCCTTAGCACCCCTATATATAGTGGGGAGAGGAGGGACTTCATACCTTGAGTCCTTGACCTTTGGTTGCCTCCTTCTCCCTCCCCAACACCTCCTCCACCTCCTTATAGCTTAGCGAAGCTCTGCCGGAGTACTGCAGCTCCATCAACACCACGCCGTCGTGCTGCTGCTGGTGCCATCTCCCTCAACCTCTCCTCCCTCCCTTGCTGGATCAAGAAGGAGGAGACGTGGCTGTTCCGTACGTGTGTTGAACGCGGAGGTGCCGTCCGTTCGGCACTGGTCATCGGTGATTTGGATCACGTCGTGTTCGACTACTTCATCCCCGTTCTTTGAACGCTTCCGCTCGCGATCTACAAAGGTATGTAGATGCATCCAATGACTCGTTGCTAGATGAACTCCTAGATGATCTTGGTGAAACGAGTAGGAAAATTTTTGTTTTCTGCAACGTTCCCCAACAGAGAGATCAAACACATAGCTACCGGTACATACCCTCAGCCCCGAGGGAGAACTACTCCCTCCTCGTCATGGAGAGCATCGGGATGATGAAGATGGCCACCGAAGAAGGATTGCCCCCTCCGGCAGGGTGCCGGAACGGGTCTAGATTGGTTTTCGGTGGCTACGGAGGCTTCTGGCGGCGGAACTCCCGATCTATTGTGTTCTCTGGAAGTTTTAGGGTATATGGAGTTATATAGGCAGAAGAAGTACGTCAGGGGAGCCACGGGGGGCCCCACGAGGCAGGGGGCGCGCCCTAGGGGGGTGGGCGCGCCCTCACCCTCGTGGGCAGCTCCCGTATCTTCTGACGTGGGGTCCAAGTCCATCAGGTGTGTTTCCTTCCAAAAATAACTTCTCCAGTTGATTTCGTTCCGTTTCGACTCCGTCTGATATTCCTTTTCTTCAAAACACTGAAATAGGCATAAAACAACAAATCTTGGTTGGGCCTCCGGTTAATAGGTTAGTCTCAAAAATAATATAAAAGTGGATAATAAAGCCCAATATTGCTCAAAACAGTAGATAATATAGCATGGAGCAATCAAAAATTATAGATACGTTGGAGACGTATCAGATATATTTCTTAAGAATTTCTTGACATTTAAATGGACATACTTAATTTGAGAATGTATCCTTGCTTGCTCTCTGTATGACTGAAAAAAATACGACCCCATTCATGAACACATGTACGTGGCGGTCCGACGACCCACCTTCCGTCACGGTCGTTCTCGACGCCGTTCTCCTTGCTCTGGCATTCTCGAGCATCATGCCGGCATCAGGCCTGGCCACGACATCCTCCATGGTGTCGCGCAGGACGTCCCTACACAGGGGCGCGTGAATGCGTACGCCCATAAAAAAGATATGTTATTTTTGTTGTATTAGTAAACTTGTGATTGTCAACTAATAATAGAATAATAATGGTAATAATAAATGATATGGTGCATGAGATTAGCAATTTGTTATTGAAGAATATCTAATTTTATTTTGGAACATCATCAAGAAAAATCTTATATACTTCCTCCGTTCCTTTTTATAAAGTGTATTTGCTTTTTGATAAAATTTTACAATGTAAGGTGCATTTTTCCTAATTTCTCGTAATTCCGCTTTTGGCAAAAAGGAAAGTATCTCTGCCCTAATTGCTTGTATATCTTATTATAGAGAAAAAAAAGGGAAAGTATCTCTTTCCTGATTGCGTATATCTTTTCCTTTCCTAGGCTAAATGACTTTCCAATAATCAACTAATTAGCAAAGGGTAATTTTGTCCTAGTTTGTTTATAATTATGTGCCTTGATCACCGTGCCAAAAATAATACACCTTACATAAAGAAATGAAGGGAGCATGTCTTTTAGAAAGATGGTCTCACATATTTGGTGCAATTTATGAATTCTTAATTACAATTTACATGATTGAATAGAATCATCACCTACCAGAGCTAGCACGAACAAAATCTCGCCATTTAATGAGATTTGGTTTCAATGGAAGGAAAACAAATCCAGTGGGTGGGGGTGGGAAGTGGATCCTCTAACATTAAAGAGGGAAGCCACCTAAGCTACAATATAATGTAGTGCAAAACAAAGAAGAAAAGTCAGGGACACTGTAGCGAATACTGTATTTATCTAATGCAGAAGGTTATGTGTGTGGTTACTGTTCATGTAAATAAATTTAAAATAAATTTTTTTGCATCATAATTTTGTTTGCATGTAATTTTTGTAAATGTATACAATAGATTTGTAATTTACAAATTAATTTAAGTTATTTTATCCTTAATTATATGGATATGAAGTAGGAAAGTTAGAAAATTGTAGCTTAGGTGACTTCTCTTCTTCATGTTAAAGGATCCGCTTCCGTGGGGTGGTGGGAGATGAGGGAAAAAACCGACGAAAATAAAATCAGCAAGGAGAAACTACCAACTACTGCCTTTCTCTCCCTAATAATAAAGCATGCATTGACTCCGGGTTCACCGTCACAATGCGCTTCTTCCCGTTATTTTACGCTTTCACTTTGAATTTTAAAACTTATTCGAGGTGGTACTATTCCTTAGGTCAAAAACATTACGATCCTACCGGTATGATTAAAACTTGGTCCTCTGTATGTTGGCCCAGCTTGCAACATATGGAGGAAAAAAGGCCCAGCTTGCAATGCAAGGAGGAAAAAACACTTGGGCCTTCTGGCTATACGTTGACTCATCTTCAGTGCAACGTAGGGAGGTAAAAAATACATGCTTGCGATAGGATTTGAACTCGCAACCTTCCACGCAATACCTCTAGCACCATCCAAAGTTCTGCCTATTACTCAACACAGCTTTGAGGAATTTAAGAATGTCAGACAAGCCGCGTTGGCACTCTCTCAGAGTCGAGGAAGACATGGCCCATATACAGTATACACAAATAATCATATTTAGCGTTGTTCACCCGAATCAGCTGACTATCCATGTCCTGAACTATGCGTCACAACGAACCCTATTTTTAATTGAATCATATTTTGTATGTACAAGTCTGCTATGGTTATTAGGGTGCTAGATCTTCTTTTCTCCCGTTGCAACGCACGAGCCTTTTTGCTAGTAAGAATAAAGATTGAGCCGACCTTGTTTTTCCTTTTAAGTATCATATTTTTCAACTAGCAATAGATATCAGTCTAACATGTGAATCAGACAGGCCTGGGCCAGTGGGTCTATCTTCCAAACGATCTCCTTCCATGAAGAAAAAAAAGATCTTGTCGCATTTCTGTGCCGAAAAGTAATCAATAAAGCGGAGTGTATTCTTTTCAATAAATAAATAAATAAAGCGGAGTGTATTCTCGTAAAGAGAAAATGTTGGGAAAAGCAGCTTGGCGCGCGAATGTGAAATTTCGGGCGCCAAAAATCACAACTGAAATGCGCCTATTAAGAGTGAGACCTGAGAGAAATCCGATCTGATCCTTCAAAAGCGAATCCTCTTGAGAAGTAGTACTCCTGTATGGAACCATGGGAGAGAAACGGGAGCGAGAGCGCCAAGAAGACGATGACCTCGCCGGCGCCGCCGGTGGCCGCTCTCGGCGATGATCTCCTGGGCGAGATCTTCCTCCGCCTCCCCGACATGGCGTCGCTTGCCAGCGCCGCCCTCGCCTGCAAGAGCTGGGCCGAGTAGCCCGCGTCCCAGCCATCTACCGCCGCTTCCAGTCCCTTCGCAGGCCCCCACTCGTCGGCTTCATCCTCACCGACCGCAGCGACATGCCCGTTCCCCACCACTGCCCTAAACTCCGCTTCGTCCCCGCCGAATCCCGTAATCCCGACGTGGCCTCCGCCGCCGTTGACGGCGACTTCTTCTTCGAAGACCTCCCCACCATAGATTCGGACGACGACGGCGAAGGGGACTACTACGACGAGTGGCGCCTCCGCGGCTGCGACGGCGGCCTCCTCCTCCTTTCCCGCGGCCGCTATGCTTTGGATCTCGCCGCGTATGACCCCCTCGCGCGGACAGCCGTCTTCTTCCGCCCTCCCCACGCCTGGCGCTATTCGTCCCACATCGTGCGCTACGCCATCTTGGCGGACGATGCGGACGCCTCGTTCCGGGTCATCGTCATGGAGCGCTGGGCCGGCTCACGCTCCGCCGTCTTCTCCTCCCGCACCCGCGAATGGGACATGCTTGAGTCGCCCGGTACGCCTGCGATGTATAACTTCATCCCATGCAGCACCGACGGCACGCCCGCGGGCCGCTACGTGTACTGGCGGTCAGACACCAAGAAGTCCCGGTATTGCAAGGACGACGAGAAGATCTTGGTGCTGGAGATGGAAGCAATGGTGTGGTCGGTTATCAAGCCGCCATTCCCTCCTGGCGAATCGTACTGCGTCGCGGACATGGCGGAGCACGGCGGGCTCTGCATTGTGTCCAGCAAAGAGCAGTGCGTGCAGCTCTGGGTCCGTGACAGCAATGCTGAGTGGATGCTCAAGAAGGAGGTTTCGTTGCTGAATGAGTTTGGATACCTGAAGAAGCTTCGTCTTGAGGAGTGGATGAAGCGCGTGCGCATCCTGGCAATGAAGGCTGGCTATGTGTACATGGAGTTTTGGTCCATAGGGAAGCCCCATTCATATCTGTTCGTGCTAAATCTGAACACCACAAAGCTGGAATTCTTCTGCAACAAGTCGACCGAGCCTCACAGAGGTCCTGCGTTTCCGTTCTTCATGCGGTCGGCACCTCTGCCTGCTCCAGATGATGAGTAAGAAATTTCAAGGCGCTTGATACAATGGAGTAGGTAATCTCCTCTTTGATCTGTTAATGATATTTGTTTCCTTTTGGTTGTACTTCCATCGATTTAGCTATTTAAGGACAGGTGTAGGTTGCTCACCCAGATCAGGATTTGATGCCTATGAAGCTACTGCATGATAAACTAGTTCAAAATTTACATAATATAAAATTCGGTGCTTACAAATTTTGTTGGTATTGTCACAGTGTGTCATTACTTAACCCTATTGAGAAGGGGCTCCCCTGGGCACCAACCAATTTCCCTAGAACTCAACATCAAGTGTAAAACTAGTTTCATATTTGTGACTTTTTTTGCGAGTGACTTGATTACATAAAAGACTGGATCAACGTGTAACTCCATTTTGTTTATTGGGATAACCCTATAGTGTTTTTAAAGTTCAGAAAGAACTACTTGGTTGTTGACTTGTAATTGTTCAGTTTTCTCAGACACTACATATTGCCAGAATCAACTATACGAGTATACATATTGCAGGTGAAAAATGATTAATTATGTAGAGAGGGCAAGTAACTGTTTTTTCTTGTTAGTTCACCTGGCACCATCACTTTATATAGTTAACACCTGAATTCTTAAATGTTGCTTCAGTTGGTTTTCAGGATTTGTAGTTTGTTATTAACCCTATACTGGGTCATAGTTTGCACCAAAGACTTGTAAATTTAACTTTATATATCTTCTTCAGTTATTCAGTTTGGTTGGCAAACTTAACTGTCATGAGCTTTCCTCCTCGCCTGAATGGTTTTGCAGAATGCCCTGTTTATTTGGTTAGTTCGAATGCATGAATCATGATCATATAATATTTCTCCATTTCCATGTGTAATAGTGGGAAAAATGCATTTATGTACCCATGCCAGTTCCAGACGATTCAGTGATTTGTTATATTTTGTGGTGGGTGGCTTACTGGCTTTGGTTTATAGTTTCTAAAAAATAATCTTTGCATTTCAGGTCAAGTTGTTACTTCTAGCTTCGATTAGCCGAAGTTGGGTTAATTGGGGCATAAGAGTGTCATCCAGATGTCAGTTTGAATTGGAATCACGGAAGCCGATTGGATAACCATCTTTTGTCTTGCAATCTCTGTTTTCACATGGAATGTAGGCATGGCAGAACAGTCTTGCTCCGACAACAGCTGCTGCTTTATCTGAATTTAGTGCTTTTCGAGTTATGTTACCCATTTCCTGTTAGTTTTATTCAAACTTCCTATCTGAACTGAGATGGTTTTATTTAATTTCAGTTGTGTTGTCTTGTTGCTTGAACGTGAGTGACAACTGAATTCTTACTGCTGTGTAGTAGAGCTCTTGTATTTTTCTCTTTATATATGCAGTCTTTATTATTATTAGTGTCCTCATTTTATTCTTAACTGGATTGGAAAACCTAAATACAGGTGCAACATTCAGAAACAGACGTGACCTGCTGTAATGATAGTGTCGTGTTTACAGTTGTAGGTTCTCAGCTTTGCCTCTGCCTGCTTTATCATCACACTCCTAATTTGCGTGTGGTTGATGCCCTGATTTGAAAGGAAGCTGGGACACCTGTGGGCTGCGACCGAACTTAAAATGTGGATAAATGTGCTCTATCAAATGGGTGCATCCCGGTAGCACGAGCTCTATAAAATGAGCTCAAGCCTGCAAGGACTTTTTCGAAACGCTTTTATATTATGGGACGGAGTGAGTAAGTAATATACAAAGTATTGTGAGATGTGCTTAACCTGTCCAGTATACCTTTCTTGTGATGAAATGCCTCCATGGAAGAATAGAACGTTGCTTTTTTCTCTAGGTAGCCGTGTGTGCTATTTGGAAAGCCGGAAGTGATCCCGAAAATACACAAGAGTGCTCGTCCGCGCCTACACACGGTATCATGTGCCGTTCTTTTCTTGTAGATCCAACACAACATACATTAATGGACCCGAGATAGATTTAATATTGCACTGAGTTGACCATACAGCATCCGTAACGTCGTCTGTGTAATGCTGGCACATGCGGCCAGCTCCGTCTTGTGCCCGCGGCCTAGTTCAAGTGCATGGTTTTGTCCTCGTCATGTGCCGTCCTATTAGCGCAACTGATAACTGATATGTGAACTATTTTTAATTTGCTGACAGTTTTTAAATATGTGAACATTTTCTGAATTTGTGAATATATTTTGAATTCACTGCGAACATTTATTGAATTCATGAACACTTATTGAATTAGTGAACAACTTCTGAATTTACCGCGAACCTTTATCGAATTCGTTAATATTTTTTGAACTTGCTGCGAACATTTTTTGAGTTCTCAAACGTTTTTGAACTTGTGAACAATATTCAAATTTGCGAACATTTTTTTTGAATTGTTTCTAGAATACTTGAACATATTTTGAATTCATAAATATTTTTAAATTAGACATGGGCTTATTTTGTATTCGCGGACATTTTTTGACATGGCGAACATTATTTGATTTCACCATGAACATATTTTGAATTCGCGTACATTTTCCAAATTTGTATGTTTTTCGAAAACGAAGATAACCCTCGGCCTCTGCATCGATCAATGCATGCAACCATTTTTATTATTATTCAACTAAGACTGGCAACATGAATACAAGGATCAACCCAAAGCCACCCATCCGTCGAGCAACACCTACACTCTTGATAATGTGTCTGAACCACATGAACACACACTATCTAATCCGGTAACCTCACGCATCTACCGCGCATCGGGCCGAGAGCACCACCTGGTCTGGCCGACCCGCAGTGCGCACTACATGTGCACGCTCTGGATCCGCCGTCGCCATCTTCCACCGTCCCATCTTTAGGAGCGATCAACGCATTCACCTTGGTTGACCGTACTGCCGTCGATGCCACCACGGCTCCAGACAACACCACCGCCCTGCGCTCGTCCATCAAGACGCATCCGCCGCCGAGACTCTGCTGCACCATATGCCGCCAAGCCCGCCGTCGTCGGCGTGATAGATACAACGCCACACCACCCCCTGATTCAGATCGCCGCCAACACTAACCCAACGGTGTCCACCATCCACATAGCTCCCAAGATGGTGCCTTCAAGAAGGGAACGATGTTGAAGGCGTCGTCGCCGCCCACCGCAGTTAGGGCTTTCGTCCGGCAGACAGATGGCATACTGGAAGTAGATGCAGATCTGACGCGCATCTCCATGGAGAAGAAAATGGCGCCCTTGGGCGTCGCCGCCGCTGTGGCCGAAAGGCCGGGTAGGGATTTCTCCCAATTTGAATACCCACCTCCTGCTCAAACCACATCGAGGATCGGCAAGTCTTGTGACCCAGATCTGCAAGGAGAGGCAAACCGAGCAGGGGATGAAGGCTAGTAGGCGTCCTGATCCATATCAGGCACCTCCGTGCGAAACCGATCGCGGGGCACCTGCAGTGTCTCGAACAGCCGGAAGGATCGGACGGAACGGCCAGATCCGATCCAGGAGCTCACCCCGGATCGCCACACACACGTTGACCCAAGTGGAGGCGCGGAGCTCCTCCTAACGGCCGGGCTGATCAAGCGGATCCGATCCAGGCGCCCACCACCGAGCGCGACTGTCGCCACCTTCATTGGTTGTGTCCTGGGCTTGCCTGGTGCCAACCTTTGGCGGCGGCGAAGAAGGAAAGGGAAGCCGGGGAGGCTAGGCTTTGCGCTATCTTCCGAATCTATGAACATTTTTTTGAATTTGCTACAAACAAGTTTTTAATTCGCGAACATTTCTGAATTTGTGAACACTAGTCAAATTCATGAATATTTGTTTTGAATACTTGAATTTTTCAAGAATCCTTTAACATATTTTGAATCCGCGAACATTATTTTTGAATGCTTGAATATATTTTGTATTCACGAACATTTTTTTTGAATAGTTGAACATTTTTTAAGAATACTTGCACATATTTTGAATTCACAGACATTTCTTGAATTTGCCGTGAAGAAATTTCGTATTCGCGGACACAGGGTGGACGTTCAAGAGGTTCATGCCCAACACGGACCTGTGTGATTCAGAAGGGAATCAATCAAATATGTTTTTTGCTTAATTAACTATGATTGCACGACATGAAGGCGTGGTGTGCCGTGACGGCATCGATATCAAACGGCACAGGCCGTCCGCCACATCACCGCTCTCTAGGACATCCTGG